GTGTTGCTTGTCGTGCCCTAACTCTGTCTTTCTCGAAGGAAACCACCTGATGAGACCCTTGAGAAAGGTCGAAACCGGTCGTGGTATCTTCTTTGATTCTTTCAGAAATGAATTCTGTCTGAGTCTCACTAAGAAGGCGGTTGTAAAATTACTAAATATAATCAAATTTCATTCAATTTGCCTTTAGCCCAGATCAGGCATGCAACCATCGCAAGCTAGGGCTCGCTGATCGGCAGCGAACGTGTCCAGTAGCGAACCGTTCGGTGCCGATCAGCGATCCCTAGTTTGGGATTGTTGCATGCCTAATTCTATAAGCTTTATTATTCGCAGCTGACTTTTCTGTGTTATCAAAACTGACTGATTTCTGACGACATCTATCCATCCAAGTACGGAAAAGGTTCGCTTAGCTTTCTTCCTTCCTGAATCAGTGAATATTCTTTCAGCCATCTCTTCTAATATTGTGTCTCGTGTAAAAAATAATTTTCTATTTTTCTCTCCTGCGATTGGCTTATCCGTAGTATATATATCTAACAGCCATTTTCCAGATTTTGCGCACACACACACAAAGGTAACCATCTTGAAAGATCCTAGACTAATAACGTGACAAAGAAATAAACTCATTACGAGTTTAAATGATTAACCTTCCTAGGTCAGAGCAGGTTGTTAAATAACATTCATTTAAACTTCTTACAAGTTTAAAAGATACTTGTTACAATATTTTTCACCTTGTTACGAGCATGGATTTAACATGCAGTTGTTGGCGACGTAGATAGAGAAGTGACATGGGAAAACATCCTTTTTCATTTCAATTCTAATGGAACGCCAGAAGAATTAAAGATCGCTCTGAAAATTTAAGGCTTCGAAACAGCCGTTCTGGTTTTCGTTTAATGCGCTGCAATAAAAGCTATTAACGTTTTCTAATGTATCTGTTGTCATTCTTCGTGCTCATTTTATTGATATTTAGTAAAATATAATTTGGACTATGAGTAGTTTCTTCACGACATAATGCATCATTCTCTCAGTATATTTTCCTTTTACCTTTTTGTAAACTTATCTTTCAAATATGAGATACAACTAGAAAAATATGTGTGTCACACTTTTACAAGGTTTGTTTTGCTTCATACGTGTAGATTAAATTCGTATTTCTCTGATAAGCAAGTCATTCATTGTGAATATTTCGCTTTTTGAAAAAACTATGTGCTTCGATTCTTTAACGGGTTCCCATGTTTTGCATTTTTTTTCTCGACTTTTGAAACGCTCTAAAGTGGAGTATAAATGCGTTTTTTGTTTTTTCGATCATTTAGTTTAGTTTTTCCCATGCCTACTTGTTTTGCTTAACTGTTTACAAAGAATAATGCACAATAATATCCTGTAAAAGAAGTTAATATGTGTCATTTTTTGAAGATCGAGAATGGGAGACCATGAAATGTTTGTTGAAAAGAAAGTTGATGAAAATGAACGAAAAGAACACGAAGAATTTTTACGTTTGGCTATTAAAATAGCTGAAGAGAATGTTGAACAAGGCCTTGGTGGACCGTTTGGGGGTAAGATATTTGTCTTTTTTATGCACGGACTGATGGCCATTACTTTTGTAACTCATCATATTTGTAGCTGTTATTTGTAAAGATGGAAAAGTTATTGCAAAAGGCTCAAATAAAGTTGTGAGTATTAAACATTTCCACATGACCTGTGAGTATTTTTTCGGTTTTTCAAAAATGCGTCTAGACACTCTTTTCACTGGAAATACTCTGAAACCGCGGTTTTCTAATATCAAGCCACGTTTTGTTAGGAAACCGTGGTTAAACAACACGCAGTTAAACATGATTTTACCGATAATAATCGAGTTATTGTTACTAAACTGGCATCAACTACTTGGGTTGTTCAACTACAGTTGCAAGTCACAAACAGAATGCGATTTACGCTTTTAAAATCACGGTTTTCTCGCAGTAGAAGTTAACTAGGTTTAAGAAGACACCCGATGTATTGTGATCATAAAAAGAATACGATATCTCTATTTAAAACCTCTATTTTTACCTTAACCGGTGCCTGAAAGTGGTGCATCAAAAATTTGTGAACGACGCATTTATTCACGATCTGAAGGAAAGCGCGCGTTTTGTTACCATGAACGTCCGGTTCTCTAATAATCGCTGCTCGCTATTCGTCCGCACTTGACATGTGAAACGGCGTTTTCTATCACCTAAGTCGCGTTTTGCATGACCGATCGATTAACAGCGGTGCTAAATGAGTCATAATAAAATTATGCAAAATTTGTATGGTAACTCATTTAGCACCGCGGTTAATCAGCCATACAAAAAACGCGTTTTCAATGACAGGACACACGGTTTTACAGGTCAAGCGTCGGGGAACACGGTTTTCTTAGACACCCGGTTACAGTACAGTCGCGTTTATGTAAAACGTGGTTGTACATCTCCAAACGATTAGACGCGATGCCAGATGCATCAGGTACTTTACGATGTAAATTGTCTAACGAGGGAAGTACCCTAACTGATAAATCGCTTTTTCAACGAAACCGAGTGGACTATAGGTAGTCGACGATGCTGATTCCGAATATCACCATGAATGCTGCTGCTAGG